AAAAAAAAAAAAAAAAAAAAGAGTGGGCACATAGTAGAAGCAGCAGTCAACGCTCCTGCCTCAGATGATGGAGAAATAAGTTGGATGTGTTGCAAAGAAAGGACAAGAGAACAGGAAGAACAGGCTGCCTGTTGGGTGTTCTGGCATTCCAGAGGCTTAGCCATAAGAAGGCACACCAACAGCAGGAAAGACTCCAAGCAGGCATTTCTAATTTTGATATATTCCCTTCCTCATTTCCCAATGGCTAAAACACAATCCATTTCCTTTAACAACACAATACAAAACTGGTAAGATCAATATGCTGAAAGAGCACAAACTGTTGATGTAAACTCATTACCAAAGTTGATTCTTCATAAGTTCAGGAATCCCAACATCTTCATTATTTGTATCAAGTACTTGTTCTAAGCTTCTTATGCTCTCTCTGGATGGTGATACAAAGATTTCTGGAAAGCTCAACTTAAATATCTCCTCATAGCTGTAGTTTGCCTAGAAAAAACAGAGTTTTATTACAAGGTCAGGTCAACCTCACAGTTCATGAAGACCTAGTCCAAAGCCTACAATGGTTCCAGAAATTGTATTACTGACTGTTTCTAAAATTTGTATTAATATTGTATTAATATTAATGGCACAGAGGGACTGACCCCATAGTTCAGTGTTTTGAGAATTTATCTAGAACTAGAGGAGAAGCAAGAGTCCAAGAGTTTCTGATGAACCTTAGTCTCTAGCTTCCCAGGTACTAAGTTATAGGCTGGTTTGTCTGATGGCAGTCAAGACTCCTTCCTCTGCTCAACTCATTCAGTTCAGGTCAAAACAGATGTACACATTGATTCAAAAGCTTGTTTTGAGAACTTAGTATTCGAACACACCTAATTCAGCCAAATGTAACATAACTACTAAATGCTACAGTTACCAATAAATACTTGCACTGGGTCAGTATGTCTATATCCTTGCATTTGCACCAAACTTTTTTTCCAGCCTGTGTTAAAAATCAGAGTCAGATTTACATACTTGTTCCTCCTCTAGCAGTGATGAGGAGGAGGTTTGGAGGACTGAATATAGCCACTGGAGTGATCCAAACAAGCCTCCTGGAAATAACAGGGTTATCTGAAGACCAAGAAATACATATACAAGGCAAAATGTGCATAATTTACATCCTATCCTAAAGGGATGTTATTATGCCATCTGGTCCAGAAGCTTTGTCCTTTTATTCCTTCAAAGAAGGAATTACTGCAATTTTCTAAATCAAAGCAATTGATTTACTTCAACACCCTGCAGAGGGACTGCAATCCAGGAGCAGCAATGTTGCGTGAAAACTAGAGAATGAAACTAGTCAGTTTGTCTTCATTGCCTAGCAGTCAACAATTCAATCTGAAAAACAGAGGTATTGATACTTCGTATTTTGACAGGTTCATTTAATTGTAATTCAAACAGCTGAAATTAATTGAGATATTTCCAGTTCCATTATACTGAACTTGCAGTGAATATTGAGAGAGTACTGATTTAATCTAATGTGTGAATGTGCAAAATAAACAGAGCTGGTAGAAGGCTTCTGTCCTACTGAGCATGCTTCTAGAAATAGAATTTGTGCCCCATGCTTCTCCTTCCTGAAGTAAGGCTTTGTTAAACTGCCCATCCTGAAGGGCAACTGCTGGGACATTCAAAAACTCCCAGGCAAAATCCTTTGAATCTTGCCCAAAATGCCATAATACTTTAAATCAATTTGTAAATTATTTCAGTGGACTTAACTTACGACAGAGATACTATATGGAAAAGAAAGCTGTCTGAAAAGCACAATTCTGTGACAGCACACAGGTTAAAGCATACCCAGAGAGTCACAGTCAAGGAAAAAAACCCTCCAAGTAGGTACCAAGCCCTAAATGGGATGGGAGGCTAAGGAAAAGTCAGGCAGCTGCTCTTGGCTTTAGGGTGTGGAGGGGGAATTAAACCACAGAAGCAGGAATCAAGAGCAGCAGTATCTTCTCAGAGCCTGTGATGTTACTCCAACATGTATGCAGGTCACTGGCTTACAGTTTAGCCAAGCCAGCTGGAAAGCCTAACTCATAGGAAAAATACGTTTTTTGTGGGTACTTCTAAAACAAAATGGGAGTATATTTCTATTTACCTTGCAGCTTTGTACTGATTATAAAAATATGAATGCACAAATTTCACATCTGTGCTTTTCGAAGGTATCCTCTATATCCTATTATATCAGAACACTCCAGGGCTTAAGCAAGTGCACTAGCCCCCCTCACAATGGCCAGTGTTTAAAGAACACAGGAAAAATCCTTATTCAATCTTGTAGGCAAAGTATCCAGCTACTGCAAGGAAATCCGTGATTGTTTTAATCTTAAAATACATGATTCTGCTCCAGACTGGCATTGTTTAATTAACCGAAGCATTAGGTACTGCAGGTCAGACCTCTGACCTGGATGATCTCTAGAGGTCCCTTCCAGCCCACCTGGACTTTTTTCTATTTCCAGACAGAAGACAGAGACCCAACCTGAAGAGGTTATGGTCTCAAACAACAATAGAAAAACCACAGGGGTGAAGGACAAGTTACAAGGATATTCTACACCCAAAGAAATCTCAAACAACTCTGCAGCAGTTGCACTACCCTGAGGCAAGAACAGACAACTTGAAACTCTAGGCAGGGTTAACTTATTTAGTTTGTACTGGACATTTCCTTTTGCCTTTAACAAATGAAAAAATAAAGCAAAAGTTGCAGTAAGATTAAGATCTACTCCTTTTGGAAAGAAAACAAACAGTCCGCTATATTCTATTTCAGCCCCAGCCACTACATACTCTTTTTTTCAACACAAGATTTCTTGTCCCAAATTTCCAGCATTACTAACAATTTAAAATCTCTGTTTATCCATACCAATGACCACTCTACCAGTGCTGGACAGCTTACCCCATTTTTCCCTACCCAATCCTATTCAACAGGTAAAGTTCCCAGGAAAAGGCAAGAAAGCCTGCCTCCAGAAAACCCCCAGATCCCCACACATACCAGAACTCATCTAAGAGACTACAAGCAGTGAGCTATTACCGCTACAGATGAACTCTGTGGAAGTCTTAGGCCATTGTTCTCTTTTTTCACGTTTTAATCTAGGATAATAGCATTAAGGATGAGGGTGCTTTGCTTTGTATTTGTACATTCTTATTTTCCTTTTGTTAGTTTGCTTTGCTGAAGCAGGTTTGGTGTTTGGTAAACACTGAAACACATCAACTGCAACAAGGTAGAACCCTTAAACTGAACTTTTTTTTTGTGCTGATAAGGAAACATATAACTTAGTATTTATTCACATTATTAGTTCTCATATATTATGAGAGACCGTAACATCCTATGCTAGAAAAATTAATTAAATTATTTATATTCTCCTTTTTTGTGTCATTAACTTCCACCCACATTAGTCTACAATTCCAGAAAGGCTGTTGGATTATTCAGGTAGTATATTAAATAACAAAATTTATTATTTTTCCCAATTTCTAACTCAGTTTATGTTGTCTTATTTCCATAAGCTTGCAGGCAGCTCGCAGAATTTTTGTCCCCTCTGTTTTTGTTACCCAGCGTTTTTTTGTTTTCTGTGCTCATTCTTTTCTAGCTTTTAAATCGTGTGGGCTTCAGGGCAAGGTTCATAGTTTCTACTTGCTTACTTATTCCTAGAGTCTGGAAGCAAAGTAGCCACTACATTCTTTAAAGCTTTCCAGCAGGATAACTTAAGTATTCGTCAAACACTATAAAGAAGTTGCTTTTGTTCCACTTGAGTTAGCTGCAAAGTACCTTGACAGTTTCTCTCCCTGTACAGCATTATCCTCTATAGAGAAGACACTCTGATACAAATCTCGAGATGTAGGAAGCAGTAATACAAACATTTCTGGTCTCTGGTTTGCTGTTAACACATACCTCATTTAGAGAGCGACAATCCTGCTGCATCCCACTGTGCAGAGATGGGCCAGGACAAAACTGACCAGCCAAAGCACTGCCGTGTCCGCTGCTTAAGCCCAGGCCACCTCTAGAAGTTCTTTTTGGCTTCACCAAAACTTCAAGATGATGATCAAATCTCTCTGATTTGTCTAAGGACTCCCTGAAGCCTTCAAAATCACCCCAGGAGCTGCTGGGTTCTGAGGAGCTGGAAGTGCTCTCGAAAAACCCCTCACAACTTCCCTCTTTGCTATTCAGTACAGGGAGGCTTTGCTGCATTACTTCAAGATTAAGGATTTCTTCATTATTTGTTGTTTCATTCAAGTTACAGTAACTTTCATCAAGAGACATATCACCTACTTCAACTGCTAGGTCTTTCAGAGACATGCAGCGAGATGTGTCTGTATCAGTAAGACTGCCTATTAGTGACAGGTTCTGCATCTTTCTTTAAGAAAAATTCATTTGTTGAAATCTGTACTGAAAAAAAACAAGGCTACTGAAGTTCAGTTGCATTAGAAAGCTGAATATTTCCAAAACAGAAAAAAATTCTTCATTTCACCCCAGAGAATAATAACACTGCTACATCAAAACAGGATGTCCTTCAGCCTCTCCTCGAGTAGTCAGCATGTGTGTGTTACTCAGTCTCACTTTCTGTGTAGGATATTAGCCTGCAAAGAAAGAATCATAAATAAATACTTCTGTGATAAGGGCCGTGTAGGAATAAAGAAAGATAGCTGATAAGGTAGGAGAAAGAATGCTCAGGTTAAAATAAACACATTCTGATATTATACAACTGAAAACTGCTGTAGGCAAGATTATTTGAAACTCACAATTAAATCTATCTGCCCACACCATAAGAAAGCCATTACATTAGTGAACAGTGTTCAGAAAACTCTCAACAGAAGTTGATGGACATATAATTGAGTACTGACTGAGTACACAAGAGACAAACCGAAATAATTACGGACAATATCCAACACTTATTGAACATTTTCTAGAACTATTTATTTCATCCACCTCGTGCATATTTGGACATCGCTCTTTTTGTCTGCGTGGGCTTTCCCTGTCTGAAAGATCACTGAAGAGGTGAACGCGACTTGCAGCAACACAGGAACTGGCCATTTAATCCTGTGGAAAATACCGTGCTTCCAACTATGTAAGCAACTAAGATCTAATAAGTTCAGTTTGGTGTCTGTAAATTATACAGGCAATACTGCGTTTACCACTTCAGATTAACCACATCTCCTCCAGCATTTTCCCGACTGACAAACTGGTTTTGGGGGGTGGAGTGGGGAGGGATCAGGAGCTACACTAAAACCACTCCTGAAAGACCGGCCGCTATTAGGCACAGAACAAAACCTTGACGATTTTTTCCCCAAGTTCACCTCGAAGGTGGCACAGGACCGACCGGGCACGGACCA